ATATATAGACATGAAAACATATATGTGTCTATATATAGACATATATACGTATATATGTCTACTTATAGACATGAAAACATATATATGTCTACATATATGTATACATATATTATTTATATATTGAGAGATAGAGAGAAAGTATATAAATATCTATATATAGAGAGTATAGAAATATATACAGACATAAATACATATATATGTGTATGTTGTGACTTCTTAAGGTCTGGACAGGTGTTATGACAGCACTGGCAGGTGGTCAGTGAACGCATCAGGTCAGTGAACGCACCAGGTAAATAATGATAATGATTAAATATGAAAACAGAACCCCCCCCCCTCCAAACCTTACAATAATCTGCTGAATGACCCATATATATATATATATATATGTCTATATATAGACATAAAAACATATATATGTCTATCTATCTATATATATATATATATTTCTGTTTACACATATGAATATATACATACATACGTCTACATATATACATATACAGAGATAAATACATATACATGTCTATATTATGACCTCTTAAGGTCTGGACAGGTGTTATGACAGCCCTGGCTGGTGGTCAGTGAACGCATCAGGTCAGTGAACGCACCAGGTAAATGATAATGTATGAAAACCCTCCAAACCTTCCAGTAATTTGCTGAAGGAGCTTTCGCTGATGTCCGCCGGTAGTCCGGCCTCCGCCAGGTCCACGGTCACCCCCCCGAACCGGTCCACCTTCCCGGGCAGGACCCCCCCCACCTCCGCCTCGTGCTGCTGGGGACAGGTGAGGGAAACGGAGAGTGCGCGCGCAGCCAGCCTCCTGCTCGAGACGTGGCCTCTCACGAGTAGAGAGAACCTGGACAATAAGGCACAACCAGCCATGTTATTACAGGTGAAGAGTAACTGTGGACATCCAGAGGAGGGTCAACCCAAACCGGCATGTGGACACGGTGTTCAGTACGGTTACGTAAAGCTCCGCCCGGGAACTTGCATAAATACCGTAACGGTGCGAATAGACGCTCCACAAATGTCAGCCCGCCAAACTGTATGGTCTGTGTAACACAATAAAGCTTTTAAGGCATAGTGACCACGGTACATGACACATTCTGTAGACAACTGATTTTAAAGACTTGAAATTACATTATATCACGTTCGGCTGTAGTATATATTAACCAAACTCATCAAATAACTGTTTCCACTACATATCAGCAGCTATAGTTTGGATGAAATTGTGAGCTGTAACGAAGAAGATATTTTTTTTAAAAGTCATTGAAAACAAAGAAACGTAGTCATTTTTCATCTACAAACAAAGCCGAATATCTGACTTTGTCCTAAAAATATGTATGAATTTTAAATTAATATAGTTTTGAAATTGAATTTGCTGATAACCATGATTATCTAAAATCCTCTGATTTATCTACGAGGTTTTGCAGGCTTCGAGTTTGTCGCTTTCTTGTCTGTTCTTTACTTGTTCTCATCTAACCTTTGTACTTAAATTAAAATGTGTCTGTCATGATTTAGGTTTGTCATAAGATTATCAAATTTGTTGTGATTTATGTTTGTCATAAAATTATTTAATCTGACACTAAAACCGCAAATCCGCTACTCAATATCTCCGGATTTACGGTAATAATAGGCGGAGCTAAACTTTAACCAGGAAGTTTACAACGCCGCTTCGTGTTTACACGTTTTCACCCTCACGTGGAAGGCATTTTTACAGCAAAATGTCTTCAAAGAAAAATAAAAGCAAATCTAAAAAAGCCAGCGAAGGAGACTCCTCTTTTGGTCTGAAAGAAGGCTCCAATGATTCCTCAAAGCTTCAGACTTCTGGCCTGGACGGAGGAAGCTTCAACTTTGACTCATTCATTGTGATGGATTTCCTCGAAAAGGGTGAGATTTAGTTAACTCACCTTAACTTTTAGCGGTTGTGTGATATATAAATGCATTTAGGAAATGGGATTATGTGGAGGTCGCTGCTTTGGCTGATGCTGATGGATGCCTTCAAACAGGGCGTATAATATGATATATAATAT